ATCCCCGACAGTGAGGTCCCACCCCTGCCACCTTTTCAGTTACATTCCTGACCCCTTCTTGCCGCTCTTTACCCTGCCAAAAGGAGCTATCGGGATGATTAAACTCCCCACTCGGGAGCCGCAGTGCTTGGCCTCACGCCCTCCTTCATCCCCTGTTAGTGGTGTGGCTTTGCATAAGTCACCAATTTCTCTCTGCTTCTGTTTCTTCATCTGGAAACTGGGGACAGACACAGTCCCGCCCTTCGGGAATGGGGGGGAGGATAAGTGGGCTCAGCGCACCGTGAGGCACTAGGAACAATGCCTGGCACTCTGGGGACACCGTAGAAATGTTGGCCAGTGTGCCCGCAGCTCCGCTTCTAATGACCCTCGGCCTCTGTTCCAACGGGAAGGAGGGACAGGTGGCCCTGGTCGATGGCAGACCCCACCCCGGCCTGCCCTGTCCTTGGCTGGTGGGGCCCGTGTCCACCCCATCCTGAGGCCGGCGCAGATGGCCGAGGAGCCAGAAGAGGGCCTGGAGCCACGCTCGGGGCAGCAGCAAAAAGAGGTCCCAGGAAGCCACCCAGAAGCTCCAGAAACTCGGGAGCACAAATCCCCTTCTGAGAACTTAATCCCCCCAGCTCCCCCCACCCCCACCCCCAGATCGGCTGGTGCTAGATCTTGCTGGGAGGTCTTGGGTTAGCCACCAGGGCTAATTATAAACTCCGTTGGCTTGGGGCTCTTACTACCCCATTGAAGGGCTTCTGCGGCTGATGGGGCCTGGGTTGTTTTCCTTGGAGAGATTAGCACCCAGAGGCCAGGGAGGGGACACGGGTTGGGAGTGAGGCGGACCTAGGTGCAACTTGCAGCTGTCCCTTTCAAGCCATGGGCCCTGAGCAAGTCACTGTGCTCTGCCAAGCCTCTCCTTTCTCATCTGCAAAATGGGGATGATATTGCCTACCTCACAGGATGGTTGGGGGACTATATGTGACAAATGTACCCTCAAGGTGGCAACTTCACTGCCATGTCTTGGGTGCTTAGATGGGGGTGTGGTACGTAGTAGGTATGATGCTCCCTCCTTCCCCCCATCTCAGAGCAGACAATTTGCTGATGACCTATTCATTCGTGTGCTGGTCCAGCCTCCTTGACAAACAGGAGTGGGACTCTTAGGCCCATATTGGGGGGTTATTACCCCTCTCCCCCATCTCCAGGGCCCCTATTTCTTCTGCCTGGTCTACTCTAGCAGTTTCCTTGGGCAGCCAAGATGATCTTTCAAAAATGATGCTCACTCCCCAGCTCCCCAAGTGCTCACGGTCCACCTGCAGCTTCTAGGAATGGCATTGAGAGCTTCCTGCCCATCTGTCCCCACGATGTCCTCCGAAGTGCCCTCTGTACCCCCATGTCCTGCCTCAGTGCTCCTTGGCCTGTCAGGCCCCAGCTCACTTGTTGCCTTCTCTGTCTCCGTGCCTGCCCTGCCATGCCCCGCACCGGTTAAGCGCCCCCTCCCTGCCCCCACAGCTTCTAGCTTCCCCGCTGCAGTGGGATGGCTTCTGGCAATCTGTCTCGTGAGACAGGAGCTTTCTGAGGACAGAGCCTCACCTGTTCCCAGAGTGAGGCAGGGGCCATGAGCTCGGGCTCCACCGGGACCAGAGGGGTAGCATCTGTCCTAAGGGGTTTAGTGTAAGAGTACCGAGCACTGGGGACTGTGGCAAATGGGAGAGCCGTACCCTGGATGGGCAGCCATCTCTTGTCTCTGATCAGCCATTATCTTGCAGGTATGTGGGGCAATACCAGCCATATCTTCCCATTTTTTCAAAAAAGCCAGAGAGACTTCATTTCCTAGCCTCTTGTGCATCTAGGTGGGGTCATGTGACTAGTTTTCACCAATGGACCATGAATGGAAGTGATGTGTGTCACTTCCAGGAAGAAGTGGTTAAAAGGGTCTCTACCCCTCAAGCCCCCCATTGATGTGCTGCTCACAGGATTTCAGTAGTTCTGGTGAGACAGAGCTTCCAGGATTTGGAGGAGGGCAGAGCCACAAGGTGGAAAGGGCCTGGGTCCCTGTCACCTGACCAGGGGCACCACCAGATGTTTGAGATAGAAATAAACTCATTGTGTTACATTCTGGATTTATCTTAAACAGAAGACAGGGTTATGTGGATGAACAGAGGTGGACTTGTCAGCCCCTCTTTGTTCTTCCTCCCTGAGAAAGCATCTGAGGGCGCTGGAAACCGGTGCTGGAGGCAGACGGTCACCCTTAGCTTCTAATGGGTGCTGGTGGGTGGGGCTGGGACCTCTGCCTTGCCCCCTGGCATGGATTAGTTACAATAAAGGTGACAAGTGACCTGAGAGTGCGGGGGCCCAGCTTGGGTGAGGGGAGCCTGGGGTGCCCAAGCACCATGGATTCATCTTGAAGCCCACGGCACAGATTCTGGGTGGGAAGAACTCCCTACTCCTCGTGGGAGCTAATGCTCATTATGTGCTCAACACTGCACTGGACACCCTCCATTCAGGTGTAGGAAAGTTAAAGAACTGTCCCTAGTTCATAGAGACGTGCTCCCCCATCTCTCAGACTCCCGGTCCCTGCTTTCCAACCCCCTCAGTGTATCCCAAAGTTTAACAGATGCTGTTGCTGCCCTCTTCGTATCCTCTGAGCATTTAATGTTCCAGCACGTGTCTGGGGGGAGGAGGGTTCTCTCTCTCAGCCCTTCAAGGGCAGGTTGGGAAATGCCAGGGTGTTCTCTTTCCAGGAAGCAGCCCTTAGCCAGTGGAGGAGGAGTTGGGAAATAAATGCCCCAGCTTCATCGCCCGGCGGTGGGCGGATTGAGGTGCATCCTCTACGGGGTCTCCCGGTGGCCCCGGGTGGGCTTGAGCCCTAGTTGCCCCTGATGGCAATCTGCTTCGTAACTTAAACCTTTTTTTTTTTAAGATTTTATTTATTTATTTGACAGAGAGACACAGCGAGAAAGGGAACACAAGCAGGGGGAGTGGGAGAGAGAGAAGCAGGCTCTCTGCTGAGCAGGGAGCCCGATGTGGGGCTCGATCCCAGGACCCTGGGATCCTGACCTGAGCCGAAGGCAGACACTTAACCAACTGAGCCACCCAGGCGTCCCTCATAACTTACCTTTTATCAGCTTCCTTCCTTTCCCTGTCCCACTTCCCCACTCCCTGCCTGGGGCCTTCTGAGCTCCTTTTACACTTGCACGTACATCTCAGGGTCTGCCCTTGGAAAACCCAACCTAAGACACAAAGGACAGTTTGCACCCTGAGACATGTAAGTTGATTTCAGGTGCGGTGCTGGTGAACTTTCAAACCGTGACCGCTCACCTGTGCGTTTAAACAAGTGTTTAGGAAATAGTAGTAGAGAGAGGACAAAAATCGGGAAGGTGATATGAGGGGTCTCTTTGCCCTGGTAAGAACGTGAGCATGTAGTTTAAATTTTCTAACCCGGCGTCGGCGTGGCTGCGCCTCCCTTCTTGTCAGCACTGCCGGGAAGTTCAGAGAGAAACCTGATCGATTGCATTTTCTCCCTGAAGGAGGGCCCCCTTCAGACACGGTCTCTCGGCATTCTGAGTTCACACTTGACCCGTGTGTTGAGTCCCTCGTACTGGCTGCGTCAGACGTGTTGGCAGGAGGTTGGAAATGTATTATAAACAAATGAAGGATGTCATTAAGTATAGGAGCTTTGGAATAGAATGTACCTGGGCTCAAATCCCAGCCCCACAACTTGGGGGACCTTGAGCAATCACACCACCTGGTGGACCCTCGGTCTCCTCATCTACAAATGCGGACGACAGGGGCCCACTTCCTAGTGAGGGTCAAATGAACTGAATCCATATAAAGCATCAAGCACAGAGCTTGGTAGATGGTTAAGTGATCAATGTGAATGGTTATGATGATTACCATTATAAGGACCGTCATTGCAATAAGGCAAGAGGCAAATCCGGGGCAAATCCGGGGACCCGGTATATCCCAATGTCAGGTGCAATCCTGAGTCTAGTACCCAGGCCTGATAATCAGGAATGGAAAAGAGATCACAATCGCCAAGCCAGGCTGAAGCTCTGTGAAGGCAAGGGGTAGGTCTGTGTGGTTCTCCACAATATTCGTAAGACCTGCTACAGTGCCTAGCCCCTGCTCAATGCAGTCGACCCTTGAACATGAGGGTAAGGGGCGCCAACTCCCCCCAAATTGAACTACAAACAGCCTCCTATGGACTGGAAGCCTTACTGATAATATAAGCAATTAACATATATTTTGTATATTATATGTAATATAGACTGTATTCTTACAATAAAGTCAGCTAGAGGAATGAAAATGTTATTAGAAATCATAAGGAAGGGGTGCCTGGGTGGCTCAGTCGGTTAAGTGTCTGCCTTCGGCTCGGATCATGATCCCAGGGTCCTGGGATCGAGCCCCGCATTGGGCTCCGTGCTCAGCAGGGAGCCTGCTTCTCCTTCTCCCTCTGCCTGCCTGTCTGCCTACTTGTGATCTCTCTCTATCAAATAAAAAAAAAAATCTTTTTAAAAAATTATATTAAAAAAAGAAATCATAAGGAAAATACAGTTACAGAACTGTATTTATCCAAAAAAATCTGTAAGTAAGCGGACCCATGCAATTCAAACCTGGTTGTTCAAGGGTCAAATCAATTTGTTGAATGAATGAATGAGTTCCACTGGGCCAGGGCATGTGGCTCTGTCTGTGTGGCAAGGGTGTCGTGGGGCCCTTGGAGGCCTTCTTGCTGTGGGTTTCAGGGCCCAGAGGCTTCTTGGATTCTCACAGCAACCCAGGACTGGGCTGTGTCCCGTTTTATCGTTAAGAAAATGGAGACACAGAGATACAAAGCAATTTGTCCAAAGTCACGCAGGTACTGAGTGGTGAAGCCCCCAGGTCAGCAGGCAGCCCCTTCCTCCTGGCCCTTCACCGCCCACATTCCTGGGCCCAGAGTCCAGTTCTCTCCCAGAGAAACCAAGCTTATTTCTTTCTCTTCCTCACTGACCACAAAGACTCAGTTCCGTCCTCAGAAATATTTGGAAAGTTTTATTTAAATGTTTTGTGTTCCCTTTTAACCAACACCAAAAAGAGAAAAAAAAAAAATTTTTTTTTTGCCGTTCCAAACAGGAGTGTTCCTTCAGAGAGGAGTGGGCATGTGTGTTAAGAGCTGAGAAAGGTCTGCCTGTCCAGGCTCCTCTTCCGAGCCCAGGAAGCCCTGGGGTCAGATGGCCAGTCCCAGTTCACTTCCTGGGAGCCCCCAGCGGCTCTGGAATGAGTGAGCAAACCCCCCTCCTGCGGAGAAGAACCGGGTCTCCCGGCAGGTGTACGGACATGAGCACGATGGGGCCTGGTGGTTCTAAAAGGGGAGGGGGAGTGGGAAGATCAGATCCGGAATGTTCCATGGAAGCTCCAGGGCCTCCGGGTCTGGAGAAATGTGTTTGCTAGAAAAATAAGATCCTTTGAGAATTTCTGCAGTCTGCATCCTCTGCCTGCCCAGAGAAACCTACTCTGTTGGCCAAAGGGGCAGCAGGAAGGAGCAGAGGCCAGAGGCCAGGAACTGGTCTGGCCCCAGTGGAGGATTCCAGAGAGGAGCGAGGTGGGCAGCAGACTTTGGTTTCCTGGGTCCTCTTTCTGGCAGCTGTAGAGGCTGTGAAGGTTCCTGCCTACCTGGCCCTTGAGGTGTGGGTTCCCAGGCAGTGGGCCGCGCTGAGAGAGGGAGGCTGGCCATCCGTCATAGGCTGGTGGGTGCCTGGGCCCTGGGCCCTCAGAACAGGATGCCCAAGGGGAACAGGGCCAGCAGGAGGAGCAGGGGGCCTGGAGAAGGGCCGCCTGCCGAGCTGGCCGAGGCACAGTGGTCCTGGTTGGCTCCGATGCAGGCTGCGTAAGCCATCACGTGGGGAATGTAGTTCTGCTCGTGGACACCGTGCAGCAGGTGTGCCATGGGCCCCTTGGCAAAGACCGCTACGTCCTCCCCACCGTGGGTCTCATGGCGCAGGGGCACGGCGGACTGCGCCTGGTAGTTGTTGTGAGCTGCGGGCCAGAAGAAACACTTGCTGAGAGCCTGCCAGGGGGCTGGGCTCTGCAGCGGCTTCTCCCTGCCCTTCCAGGCTGGCTCGAAGGCTCTCCTCTTATTGAGGACACAGAGGCTCAGTGCAGGGCTGTCACTTCATACAAGGGCCACAGGATTTGGGGCTGGGTCTGTTCTGACACAGAAGACTGCCCTCTCGACCCCCAGAAGAGAAAAATCCCTGAAGAGTCAACCCAGGAGAGCCTCTCACCATTGGCGGCATAGCTAGACCCCCAAGGACTACTGGGGCCATCGTGAGCCAATGAACAGTCAACAATATGGAACTGGATGAGCACACCGAGAAGGCTCGGCTTTGGGGAATTACGTAGCCAGTAAAAATGACAGTCTAACAGCAACAGGTGCGGAGCACGTTACGTTCTCCAGACCCACTTAGTCCTTCAGACAACCTTGGGAGGTAGAACTCTTTTACGGAAGAAAGGGAAGCTGAGAAAGGCAAAACTGCATGCCCAAGGTCACAGAGCTGCTCAGTGGCAGAAGGGGATTTGACTTGAGATGTTCTGACTCCAGTCCTGGCTATCTGGAGCCCCCTGACCTTGGCCACAAGCCTAGAATGTTCCCAGGCCCATCCCCACGGGGTGCCCTGCACCCTCCCTGCCCCGGGTTTGGGCAATCTCACCATAGTCCACCATGGAGACGTTCTCTCGCTCACCGCCTACCACCTTGTAGCCAGGCCCGTTGCCGTACAGGATGGCAGTGAAGGGCTTCTTGTCCGTGTCACTCACCATGGGGGCCAGACCTGCGCAGGAAGGCATCGACCCAGGAGTCATGTTGGAGAGCCAAGACTACAGTCCCCAGGCCCTAGCTTGGCAATCCCTAGATCCCCTGCGAAGAACCTTGAACCACTCCATGAGGCTACCTTCCAAACCTGACTCATTTCCCACCAACTACCCCTCCGTTTTCACTGTGCCCACATCCCTCCCACCTGTTGGTCTACCTGTCCGTCGGTCCATCCACCCATCCATCTTCTCCCTAGGCTATGCATCCATCCTCTCTCATTCTTCTATCCACCCAGCATCCAGGTAGCCACGCATCCACCCACCCGAGCACTCACTTCACTCGGTCCCCTCATCCTGTAACCGTGCCCCCCACCCCCCACAACAGTATCTTCTCTTTCTTACCCGATTCTCACACAATCCCACACATGCCAGGCCCGGAGCTTGCTGGCTCTCCCAACCCTACTCCTGCCCCCCGATGGGCAGGCGGTGGGAGTGCCTGGTGCCCACCCCAACCGAGGCCCACCTACCAAAGATAGAGTTGCCACGGGGGGTGTACCCGCCAAAGGTGAAGACGTGGGAGTGGTCCGCAGTGACGACAGTCAGCGTGTCTTCCAGGGAGGTCATGGTGCCTGCCTTCCCAATTGCCCGGTCCATCTCCACCACCTCGTGCAGCGCCTGCTTGGCCTTGCCCTCGTGATGCCCGTGGTCAATCCTTCCTCCTTGAGACACCAAGGCAAAGGCCTTGGGTTAGGGGGAGGGGAAGATCTGCGCCCCCCAGGTCCTGCCACACTACTGCTGGAGGAACCATTCTTTGGTGGGGAACAGCCACGTGCCAAGTACCACGCCAGGCATATCATGCCGCCATTCGACCTTTACGGCGGCTCAGCGAGGACAGGCTGTGGACCAAGGGCCCAAGCACGGAAAGAGCGAAGCCAGATCCACCCGACTGAAAAGCTGGTGCTCTGTCCGCCACCCCGCATGGCTCTCAGAGCAGCTTCCTCAGCTCCTCGAAGGAGTCTGAGACCTCCAACGGGTGGACACAGAGCCAGCGTGCCTAAGTGCCTACTGGGCGCCAGGCCTAACAAGCTGGTGTCTCATTTCCCCTTCACAACAATCCTGGGCAGAGATGGGCACAATCAGCCCCATTTACAGATGGAGCAACTGAGGCCTCGGGTGCACAAGTGATGTACCCAAGGTGGGACAGCTGGGATTTGAACTTGGGCGTAACTCTCATTCTCCATGCCTGGGCAGTGCCCATGGCAGGCCTCCATAAAGGCCTCGAAGCCTGAGGCGCCACTCTCCTAGGTGGGTGCAGGAGGCCTGGCTTTGCACCTGGCTTCAAGGTCATGGCTAAGGGCTGCATGACCTGAGGTGACCCCTCTTTGTCTCTAACAGGAGGATGCTGCCCAAGTGAAGACTCCCAATTCGGAGGGTCCTGGGCCTGGGCGTCCTCCCTTCCCACTGGCCTGAGCCTCACCACGCTGGCCTGGCAGGCTGGCAGGGTGGGTCCTCCCTTTGTTGTGGTTCTGGGAGCAGTCACAAAGAGGACTGCTCCCGGGGGAGCCCGTGCTCACCACCACTGGCTCCTGGCTGGGTCCTTGGCGTCAGAGGCCTGTTCGGGCCAGGCTGAGACCGCCATGCTTGAGTGGGAACCCCGGGGTTTGGCAAGAAAGCTGCCAAGCTGGGCGGGCGGCCGCTGGCCTCTGGAAGGCAGAGGGGCCTGAGTGTGTATGTGTGTGGTGAGAGTGTATGTGCAAATGTGTGTGTGTGTGTGTGTGTGTGTGTACAGGGAGAGTTCAGTGAGGCAACATCTGGAACCATGGGAGACAATGGCTGTTAGAACTCTGGAAGATTCTGGAAACTTTATCACTTCCTCACACTTCCTACTGTTATTGACTTAGCTATTGTGTAATCATAATAATGGTAATAATAGAAACACGGAAAATTTATTTTCTGCTGGGCCCTGTTCCAAGTACTTTATGTCTCTGAACATAATGGATGTTAATAACCCTTCAAAGACCATTTTTGGCCTCACTTTATAGAAATGTACAGACAGAGGTCGGACAGCACCAGCAAAGAACCCAGGCCTGACTCCAGGGCCTCCCAACAGCGCTAGGAACCCCCATGAACGCTGGCATACAGCACTGCCAGCTCCTGAAGGGACTGGCTCTCCCCGTCTGGGGGACCCAGGATATCTCAGGGTCATGAATCTGACTTTGGCCCCACAAGGGCCTGGTAACAGCAGATGCCCACCAACCAGCTGAGGGCTCCTCAGATTGATAGGCATCTGCCGAGGATGAACCTGGACCTGTCTTTTGGGAGGAGTGAAGCTGAGGGGCCTTAGGGAGGGACCCCCAGAAGGAAGGCTCCCACCTCCTCTTCTGGGAAGCCCTCCTGGACTAGTTGGTCTGACAGGTTATCCTCATGCCCAAAGGAAAACAGCTTGTTGGGCTGAGAGCTTCAACTCCATGCATAACCCGTCTTCCCCAATAGTGGATGGTTGTCTTTGAGAGCTGGAGCACCCCATCCCTGGATCCCAGGGCTATATACCCAGAGGCTCCCAGGGAAGTGGCCCTGCAGCCAGGCCTGGGGCCCTACCTTCCACCAGCAAGAAGAAGCCTTTGGGGTTCTTGCTCAGAATCTTGATGGCTACCTCCACCATCTCGGAGAGTGACGGGTCAGTCACGTTGTTCCTGTTCAGCTCGTACTGCATGTCCCCCGGCTCAAAGAGACCTGAGGAGGACGCGGACAGTGAGTTTTCCTGTGACCCTGCCAGGGGACCCCCCCTCCCCAAGGAGCCTGGGCTGTCTCAGGGAACAGGTTCCCCACACACAACTTGGGGTTAGAGCCAGCAGGGAGGAAGCTGCCCACGGGTGGGTCCAAACTGTGCCCAGTGCCTTGCGAGCACTGCCTCATTCCCCCTTCACAGCCGCACTATGGCGAGGGGATCACCACGTCCATTTTACAGAGGAGGCTGAGGCATGGGTGGTCAGTAGCTTGGTGTCTTCAGCTGCTAAGTGGGCGATCTGGGATTTAAATCCATCAGTGCGGTCCCAAGTCTGAAGGGCTCCGGACACGGCACTGCAACCCCCAGGCAGAGGACCATGGACGCAGTGGAGCAGCTTGGGTGTATACTTACCTGCCATGTACAGGTCAGGCTTGAAAGGCATAGTGCCCTGTGCAGGGAAGTATTAGAAGGTTTGGCTCACTGTCCCTTCTGTTCCCTGAGCTTGGTTTTCTCACTTACGAAATACGATCGATCCATTCCTTGCCCAAGTCACAAGATTCCACATGTACCAGGTTGGTGCTTCCTGCCCTAGATGTTCTGGATCCAGAACACCTTGCCCCTTCCGGGAGTATGTGCACAGCCGGACAAGAGCTCCAACGGACAGAATGCCGTGTGCCACATGCCCTTCTAGGGGCTTTGGAAGCACCCAGGCACCAGCCTCCAAGATGGCGCCCTATAATCCCTGCCTTCTGGAATTTATACCCTTGTGTGTCCCCTCCTACGCTAAGATGATCCTGAGTGTCCAATAGAATACTGCAGAAATGATGCTATATGACTTCCAGACCAGGGCATAAGATATTATGGCTTTAGCCTTGAAGTCAGCTGCCATGTTGTAAGGACACCCCACCAACTCTACGGAGAGCTCCATGTGGCAGGGACCAAGCCTTCAGATGACTGCAACCTCATGGGAGACCCAGCCAAGCTGCTCGATATTCCTGGCCCCAAGAAACTGTGTGAAGTAATAAATGTTTACTCGTTTTATTTTTACTTTTTATTTATTTTTGGTTTACTCTTCTTTTAAACTGTTAAATTTGGAGGTAATTTGGAGATAACAACTCATACAATGCATTGGCTCATGTGTACCCATGATGGCCCTGATGTCATTAGCCCCATCTTACAGAACAGTCATCACTCCTCCTTTATAGGAGAGAAAACTGAGGCACAGAGAGGAGAAATCACTTGCCCGAGGTCGGACAGCTTACAGGTGGTAGAGTGGGATCTGAACCCAGCATTCTGGCTCTAAGACCCACGAGCGGGCCAGATGTGCCACATGGGGACTTGCACGGCTCTCCACAGCCTGTTGGTGGCACAGGGTGTTTGCTGTGTGACCCAGGCAAGCAGTGCGTGTGTGTGTGCACGCGTGCATGTGTGCACGTGTGTCTGGGGAGGATCCTCCAAGGTGCCCAGCTTTGAGCCCATAACCTCCGATGACACACCCAGGACCTAGGGGCTGTGCCCCTTGGGAAAGGTTTACAGATTTTGCCACCACTCACTGGGCACAACGCCAGGTGGGACAGGGGACCCAGGTGTTGGCATGGTGGGGCTCAGGGCCTCATTCCACCAAGTCAGGGCCCCTCCCCTGCTCCCCACTCCCTGGGGGACAACCCCTAGTCAAGACCAGCAGAGATAGCCTGGCGGGCTTCTGCCTGGGCCACACAGCAGGGCTGGCTCCAGGTCTCCCGCCCCAGCCAGGGGTCAGATTTACCTGGGCCAGGATGCTAATGGGCCAAGTGGCACACCACAGTCTCTTCCCCAACCTGAGCTTCTGTTCCCCTTTGTGCTCAATGGAACCATTCGCTCTCCACAGCAGCAGATTTCAGGCCCAATTCTATGAACCCAAACCCCTTCCTCGCCTCTCCCAGGCCCTAGAGCCTCAGAGCAAGGTCCCTAAGTAGGGGGAAGGCCAGGGCCTTGGTCCCCTAGGTGCTGGACTCACAGTCCCAGCCCCAGGGCACCCAGCTGGGTGTCCTCCACTCCACCCCCCACACCCCCACTTACCCAAGAGGTAGTCCACAGTGTAGGGGTCGAGGGTCAGGAGTTCGGTACGGTTCCAGACATAGTGAGAGTGCTAGGAGGAAGGGCCTGTGTTAGTCACGTGGGGGCTGGGGGTTGGGAGGACTGACCCAAGCTGCTCTCAGGGTCTAGGGAATATATTTGTTTCCTTCAGCCATTTACTAATCCCTCCCTGAGGATCTACCATCTGCCTTTAAGAAATGATGAACAGGCAATTCTACAATTCTAATGCAGGAGAATGAGAATGGAGGGCTGGGGGGCGCTGTGAGCCCAGAGGCAGCATCGGGGAGGGCCTCCTAGTGGAGGTGATGTCCTCATGGGGCCCTGGAGGACAAGAAGCCAGTGATCAGCCTGGGGTCAGGAAGGAGAGTTTCAAATAGCAGGGAGGGATCATGGAGCCAAGAAGAGGAAGCTATGGGTCCCCAGCTATGGAGTGCCCATCAAGAGGCACGGGCTGGGGGTGTTATGGAAGCTGTGGAGAGCCAAGGAGGAAGTAAAGCCCTACTCTGCCCCAGTGACCCCACTGGAGAGGGTGATAAAGGAAGTGTGGCTTCCCCAGGACAGAGGCCACAGGAAGAAGCTGGCCGACTTATCTGGAGATGGCACCATTCAGCGCTGGGCTGGGGGTCATGGCATGGCCAAGAATCAGCTGTGCATCCTCAGGGCAACGAGGATGAGGAAAATTGCCCTTCTCTGGGCAATGACATTGGGATCTGTGGTTCTGGAGTCTCGGGGGCTGTTATGGAAAGGAGGGTGAGAAGGCTGAGGAAGTGGGGCTCCCCTGTCCTGCTTCGCTGAGCTGGTTCTCCTGTGTTACCTCATTCGGTTCTCACATCAGCCCTACGAGGGAAGTACTGTTATGCCCATTTTGCAGACAAGGATACTGAGACACAGATGACAGAGCCACTCAGCAGTGAAGGGGAGTGTGACTCTAGAAGGGTCCAATCTCTCCCTCTTGGAGTCTACACTGAGCTCCAGGGTTAAGCACCTACCCAGGCTAGAAGGGTTAAACCCTGGCCCCATGTTCCGCGTAGAGAAACTGAGGCTGGGAGGAGCAATGTCTCTCTGGCTTGGGCCAGGATGGGGCTCTGGCCTGGCCGGGGCTGACTCAGACGAATGGAAAGGGTTCAAAGCAGCACAGTCCCACCCTCATCCACCCTGTGGGGGCCATCCTCAGGCCCCTGCCCCCACCTTGCTTTTGGCCCAGCCCCATCCCACAAGGCTCCCCCCGGGGGCCAGTCCTGGAACCCTCAGAAACCCAACCCCAGAGTGACATCAAAGCGGCTCCCAGGCTGTTCCCCACTGTCTTCAGTCCTGACCACAGTCATTTCCAGACCCCATCTGCCCCAGGCTCAGCAGCTGCCAGAGCCAATACTCAGGCCCGTCCAGCGCTCCAGGCTTCCTTCCCCTGCACGTGCCCTCGCGGGGGCCAAACCAAGTCACCACGGAGGGCTCGCACACTCCCCTCCCTGCCACCTCCACCCCTCCTCCTCCTCAGGGCTTGTCAGCCCCCCCTTGCAGTCTGTCCCCTCCGGGTTCCCGTAGCTCCTGGGCTTCTCGCCATCCAAGCACAGAGTGATTCACAATCCCTTGACCATCTGATTCATCCTTTGGAATTCATGCCCAGTGAGGGGCCCTGCACACAGTAGGGGCTCAAGTGGCCTGAATGTCCATGCAGGTGATTCTGTGGCCCACCCTCCTCACTGCCTAGCTCCCCTGGGTGCCCGCCCCTGAAGGGAAGAACTGACTGATCACCTACTATGTGCCATTCATGTATCTGTTAGACCATTTGGTTCCATCGAGGTAAGAATTACGACCCCCTCCCCACAAAGGAGGAAACAAACTGAGATTCAGAGAGGGGTCGCCCAGCCCCTCCCACCACAAGCCAGCCCTGTAGCCTCCTGGCCCCTGAATGGGTTACCTTGTGTCTCGGTTTGAAGCTCTTCCAGATGTCGATGAGGTTCAGGCTGTCCAGCCTCGTGCCCCTGGACTTCTCGTCCATCTCATACTCCACGTCGGTGCTATTCTTGGGGAACATGTACTTCCGGCCTCCCCCCATGATCACCTACAGGGGACAGAAGCCATCAGTACCCCAGAGTTCCAAGCCTCAAGAGCTGGGCTCCCGGAGGCGCTGGGCATAAGCGTCCCCAAGTGTGGACGCTTCTCCAGCTCGGAGAGTCTTGGTGTCGGTCCACACCGCCCACCCCAAGCCTCTGCTTTTCCACTTGGGGAGATGAAATCATGAATATATTAGGACCGTGGTTTGGGGCTTCTGGGTGAAATACTGGTAACTTCTCCTACCTGGCTTTCCAGAAGCCTGACTCTGTTCCCACTCGTGTAAGAATAACACCATCTACAGAGCGCTCACAGCGTGTCAGTCACTAAACACTTCAGATACATCATCTTTTTTTTTTTTTTAATATTTTATTTATTTATTTGAGAGAGAGAGAATGAGAGAGAGCAAGCACATGAGAGGGGGGAGGGTCAGAGGGAGAAGCAGACTCCCTGCCGAGCAGGAGCCCGACGCGGGACTCGACCCAGGGACTCCAGGATCATGACCTGAGCCGAAGGCAGTCGCTTAACCAACTGAGCCACCCAGGCGCCCCCAGATACATCATCTTAATCAACTTCAGTACCAAGGCTGCCAGGGAACCTGTGTCCCCATTTTCCAACTAAAGAAATGGGAGCAGACATGTGATTTCTTTTCCCCCTAAGGCCACACGGCCTTAGCCAGGATTCGAACCCGGGGCTTCCCTGACCCCAGCACGGGGGCCCTGGTCCATCTGCAGAGCCTCCTGTCCCCAGTGGGAAGCAACATGCCGCAGGCCAGAGCCTCTGCCAGGGAGGTCTCGGGACAGCCCGGCCGGGAGCCGGGGCAAACAGTGGCCGGCGTTCACATCTGTGTAGTCCCCGCCAGGCTAATTTTACTCACCACGGCTGGCGTGCGTGGGCGGACGGACGCGGGGCTGTTTGTTTTCCTTGGGAGTCCATGTTTGAAGTCCTGACTATTTTTAAAATGGGGCCAAGAGCATAACAGCCACCACCTGCGGTGACCGCCACACCGGTGTCCTCCTGTCACCGCGGGTGCCAGGCCAGGCCGCCGCCCCTGGACACCTTGGGAGAGCAGAGCCCAGCTATGGCTGGCCTCAGATCCACCGCCCCAGGCCTGACATTTCCTATGTTCCCTGCTCTGCCTTCCGCTTCCCTCCCTCCTGAGAACCCCGGAGTCCAGGCGGATGGGGGGGTGCGGAAGGCGCCCGGGGCCAGCCTGGGTCATGGGGAACTGGAAAGGGCACGGGCTTGGAAGTCAGACTTGGGGTTTTTGACTCCGACTCTGTCACTTACAGGCCGAGGGCCTGTCACTTCACCTCTCTGAGCCTCCGTTTCCTTATCTGTCAAATGGTCAGGATGGCCGCAGAAGGAAATGCAGTAATGCAGTATTCCAACGCGGTCCGGACACCCGCAGGCGGCCCCGGCCGAAGCCGTTCTCACTGGCCGAAGTAGCGGACATCAGAGTACTTCCAAAGAGGCGAGTTCCTCCCCGCTGGCCCCAGCCAGGAGCTCTGGGGGTGGGGCAGGCTGTGAGACGAAGGAGAGGGGACCCCGGGTCACCGGCCCACGGCTCGCCACCCCCGTTCCCACAGAACCTGACCCCTTGGCATTTTCAGATGGAAAATGAAGCCCCCAATCTTCTTGCCTAGAGCCTCATCATTTCCAGCCCCAGCAGGGACTTCACACGCTCATTAAACTCCCAAATAACAGACTTGCTGTCTGGCTTTGGGGTTTGGGTTTGTGTCTTTCTTTCTTTCTTTCCTTTTTCTTTTTTTTTTTCTTTTTTTTTTTTTTTTTAGCAAAAGATATTTATTTTCAGGGCGGACACTAGGATTTGTGTTTCATGTGCAGCCTGGGGGCTGGGGGGCTTTGGGGTGGTGGAGATGCAGGAGCGGATGAAAGGGCAAAGCGGGAGAGGAGAGGGGAAGGGGGGCAGTGTTCACCCCGGTCCACCCCCTCACTCATGCCCCAGCTCAACCCCCAGTGACCCGAGCACCCCAGTCCACCCTCGCCCCACGGAGAAGTCTTCCCTAAGCTCCTGTCCCCCTCTCAGGCTGTTCCTGGCACATCTCCCCGAGAAGCGGCCCCATAATTACACCCTGCACTTGTACAACAAATGTTCTCACATCCATGACCTCATCTCGGCCTCCAGCGGCCCTGGGAGGGGGCAGGTGGGGCTCTCTATTCTTGTTGCACAGGTGGGGAAACTGAGGCTCAGGAAGAGGAAGCAACTTGCCCCAGGATGTTCATCAGGTGGAGGCAAAGTCAGGACAGAGGCCTGGCCTCAGATACATGCTCACTAGGAGGGGCTGCCGGGACTGTTTGTCCTGAAAGGGGGTGCTCAGTCCACTGCTTAGAAAAGGGAAGTCATGGGTGGGGAGAGGGGCCTTGGGAATTGGGGTGGTACATGGGGGACAGAGGGTCCGGGAGCCAGTCCATTTGTCTGGTGGTGGTAGGAACAGGTGAGGGGTAGGTGGGACCTGGGGCTTTCTCTGAGCCTCACTGAACCCCCATTTTAGTTTCAGGGAGCTAAAATCCCCTTGCCCCCTCGCCAGACCCCAGAAGTGGGCAACAAGAGCCTAAAAAAGGAGCAAGCTGGAGGGCCTCAGTTAAGAACAGAGTAGGGAAGGGAACAGTATCTGGGCTGTGTGTTCGCGCCTGCGCACACGAGACGGCCTGGGTGACGAAGCTGGGATTCGGGGCCGGCCTGTGTGGCTTGCGCCGAACGCCACCGCCTTCTGCGAACCCACTGGGCGCCAGGCCTTACTAAACTCCAAGGGCTTATTTTATTTGGATCTTGCAGTGGGCTGACGAGGGAGGCACATGTCACAAACGGGCTGTCAAAGGGAAGCTACAGAGGTTAACCGACCCAAGGTCACACAGCTAGCAAGCGGCAGGGCAAGGACCGGAAGCCCGGAGGTTCCAACATGGGCACTCGTGCTAACCACTGCCCACGCCACCGCCTCTCCGGGCTTCCTGGCCGGGCGCACGGGACACGGGCCTGTCTGTGCCTGTGGGCAGGTGCAGGGCAGGTGCTCCCCTCAGATGGCCACAGGGTCACCCCTACCTCCCCGTGCTGGCGGGCAGGGCTAATGGTGCAGCGCCAGATCCCAACTTACAGAATAATCCCTGGGCGCCTGATTCTTGGGGTGTGGTGGCAGCCACATCAGGGCTTATCCCTCAGCCCCACCGCGGAGAAAGCCTCCAGTGCTCCCTGCCCCAACCGCAAATCCCCTAATGGGCTGGGAGCCTCCCAGGTGTGTGGGGAGCCAGGCCGGGCCGCTTCTCCTGAGCCGGCAGAGGCCTGAGGCCCACCAGAGGCCCCGCCTCACAAGCCCGCCCGTCCCTGAGCAGCCTGCACCCCCACACTCGCCTCGATGTCCCTGACGTTGTGCATGAGCTGGTAGGCAATGTCCTTGCAGCCCTGGCTCACGGCCTCCGGGGGCATCTCGTTGTCTGAGTACCAATCCCGGTCAGCAGAGTGGGCGTAGGCAGCGCTGGGGGTGGCGTGGTTCACTCTCGTGGTGGTCACAATGCCCACAGACTTCCCTGGCATGTGGGAGAGGACGATTGGGGATGGGGCTGTCCAAGCTGTCTTCTCCTTCCCTCTCCTGACTAAAGGCTGGCCTCCCATCCATTCCACTGACTGCCTGGGGCTCAGTCTCCCCACCAGTCCTGCAGGGGTTGGTGGGGGGGACGGTGGCTTCTGAAGATCACGGCAGCACAGCTCCCTTTACCTCTGTGGCCCTCCCCTCCTTGATGGCCCTTGAGCTGTGAGCACCTGGGCCGGGGTCCTCCCCTCCATCACGTACCCTGCAGAACCCCCCCCAACAGGAAGCCCCCCGGGTGCCCTACAAGAACACAGGGCCCTCCTAAGGGCTCTCAGGTAGTGTGGCTCTGTCACCTTGTCAGTCGACCTCATACCCTGACCCCAAGTTCCCAGGACACCAGCCAGGGCCCCCACTTCCAGGGAGGAAGGGAGAAGCAGACACTGATCTCCCACGGGGCCAGCACCAGGCTACGTTCTTTACCTTCCTCACACCATACGGATAAGGGGGCCATGTTTTCATGGCCATTTTATTGTCAACTAAAGAGACTCAGGGAAATGAGCCAGGACTGGAACCCACATCTAAGTAACCCCCTAAGCCACTAGCCTTCCCGGGCATGGAAGGGATTCCACGAACATCCCCCAGGCTCCCAGCCACCAGAGCTGGAAAAGCCCTGGAGAGCATCTTTCTCTGCCTCTCCCCATTATCCAGTGCAGGCAGACTGAGGCCCAGACAGGACACAGAGCCGGGCCCCACTCCCTGCCACTACCCCCACTCACCAGCGTCCTTGGCCCAGCGCAGGATGGAGGTGACCTCGTTTCCCTGAGTCGTGTTGCACTGGGTGCGCTGGGTGGCTGCGCTCACCCCCACGGTGCCCTCGTTGGCCTTCACCCCACACAAGTAGGCTGTTGCAGTACCCGCGCTGTCAGGGACCTGAGCGTTGGTGTTGTACGTCTGCGGGTGGGGAAGGGGCGTTAGGCATCGGCCAGGCCTTGCTGGTGGCCTCCACCTCACCCCCACTCACACCCTGAGGATGGGCATGACGGAGACAGAGAGGCCTCCTGTGGCCTTGGCGAAACCCCGCTACCTCCTGAGGGCCCCCCAGAGCCACAGGATCACCTAGCCACTGTGTCCTGCCCCCACTCCCTGTGCCCTGGTGGCCAGGGCAGCGGGAAGGGGCGAGGGCAGCCCTCCAACATGCAGGGGGGTGGGGGCCGGGTCACTCAGGCCTCTCTCTGGGTCTGGGGCTGTGGGAGCCAGCAAGGGGGTGGGGGAGGCAGGTGAGTCCTAGAGAAGGGGGGGTCCTTGAAAAAGTGACGGGGGGGGAGGCTGGGAAAAAGGGAGGAAAAGTGAGGGGGCAGCAGGATCTAGAATGCGGAAAAAGGCCCCCCTCCCTCCCCCATTCAGACCTCTGGTTGACCTAAAACTATTTGCCTGTCTTCCTTCCCCACCAGCCTGTGAGCCACAGAAAAAAATCCCGGCCACTGCCGTTCTCCCAGAAGTGAGCCCTGGGCCCAACCCAGGGTGTCCAGAGGATGTTCAGTACATAACGGCCCCAGCAGGGACCCCAGCAGGGACCCCAGCAGGGACCCCAGCACAAGAGCTGCCCCCACTAATCTACCACCCGGCGGCGCCTGGGGAGGGAATGAATGCAGCAGGGCCAGCGCAGAAGTACACATGCTGCGGGGTTCCGCGGACAGCAAGGACAAAAGCAGAACAGCTCCTCGGTGGTGTTGGAAGCCGGGGGGGGGGCGGGGGGACAAGGGGCTGGGGGAGAGCTGGGGGCCTGCCGGCTGCCGTCACGTAGCCTGGACGCCGGCTACGCAGACAGGTGCAGTCTGTGAAAACTCAAGCCGCCCGCTGGGGCACGTGCGCTTTCCTCTGTGCCGGTTATACGTCAATCGATTTTTAAATCGACAACTAAGACCCCCAAGATCAAGTCTTGGCGAGCAGCTGTTGCTATCCTCCTTTCACGGTGGGGCCGCGGAGACCCCAGGAGGGCTGACCGCCTCACCCGCCTGCCCTTCCTCGGTGTGGCCAAGCTGAGAGGTGGGAGGCTTAGGCCCAGGGCGGCCGAACTCACCTTGGAGAGGGCCACGTAAGGGAACTTGTCCATCTCCAGCCTGGTCTCCTCCCCGGGGTTGTGGTGGAGCTGACCCTTGAGGATGCGGGCAGCCGTCACAGTGGAGACACCCATCCCTGCAGCAGGGGAAGGGGGAGCCTCAGTCTCTCGGGCTCCCCGCCTCTTCATCTTGGGCACCTACACTTCTCTAGTTTGGGGCCAAGGCTGGGTGGGGCGTGGGCACCAGAGCACGGTTCTGTGGCCCCTTTTTCCCTCCCCTCCCCAGACCCTCAGGGACTGCCTGGCAGAGCACACAGACCTGTTGGGTCCACAGCCTGGCCCCCCAACCCCTTAAACATGCTCCCCCCGCCGGGCCCCAGCCTCTTCAACACAGCCCTCTCCACCACAGCCTGGCTCCCTGAGCCCCTACCTAGGTGCCCTCACCCAGCCATGTTCTCGGGGACCCCCAGGCCTCACCATCTCCCAGGAACATGATGACATTCTTAGCCACATTGGTGTTGAGCTTCTGAAGCCTGAGGGCATATTTCAGGGTCTGCTGAGCTTGGTCTCTCCAGTACTTGGGGTCTTTCTCTTTCTCTGTAGAGACAGAGAGGCAGAGTTTTCTGGCAGGGGTGGGGGGCAGCTTCCCCTCCCCAGACATTACGGATACCCCAACTTCTTGTGCCTGAGGGCAGGGCTGCCTGGACTTGGGGGAGGGAGCCGGGCTGTCTATGTCCGCCAGCCATTGTGTGGTCTGTAGACCTGGGCCAGTCCACGGCTCAGAGACACCAACCAATGTGTCCGGGGCCACACAGCTCTGGCTCCACTCCCCGGAGCCCACGCTGTTTCTTTCCACCCCGTATAGAGACATTCTGCTAAGGCAGCAAATGAATTGTGCAAGCACAATTACGAGGGTAATGTTTAATCTGCTCAAGAGAACAAACTACTTTCACCTGCAGGAGTCCCCAGAGGTATCCAGCCATCAATTATAAACTCTGCTTGGCTTATTCATTAAAGTCAGCAGAAACCTCAGTTAGCAACAGCACGGACAGCAGTACTGGAAAGCAAGACTGCCTTTTGTTTAACGAATCCGATTTCAAGCAGCCACGCACAATCTCACCCCTGTTAGGAGAAATTAGCCAAGAGGAGGATGTCCCTGTCCTTAGTCTTGAGAAAAACTGGGAACAAGGAATGCTCTTCTTCCCCACCCCCACCGCACCCTCCACCCTGCCCCCGTGTGTCCAGCAGTCAATCCTCCAATGGAAAGAACACAGTTGCAGTGCCTGACAGACCTCAGTGACAACCAGAGCTGTGCCAAGGACCCCCGTGGGGGCAGGTCACACCTCTCTGAAACTCCATTTCCTTCCCTGCCAAATGCGGTTTTTGTAGATTCCTCTCAGGGTCACTGTGCGGGGAGGGGGGCGGCCGGGTTCAATAAATGACATACTTGACCCCCAGGAGATCACCATCACGCACCCCCAGGAATAATTCCATGCCAGACCTGGAATCCCTTGTTCCTACAAGCAGAGGCCCCGCAGACTAGTCCGCGCCGCCTCCCCCTGGCAGCCTCTGGGGCCACCGCCCTAATGAAGGGCTCTGCCGACTTCACGCATTTCAGGCCTCACAGGCAGAGCCCCACGCTGCAGGCTGGGGAGCCTTGGCCCTCCCAACCAGCTGTGCACCTCGAGGCAGATTCCCACCATCTGAGTTTCTGCTCCCAGGAAAACGGGAGTCCATAGCTTCCTAGAGGCAGTTTTAGGATTGAGATTGAGTCTCAACAAATTCCAGAGCCGGTGGTGGTTTGATCAGGGCTGGTTCCCATCTCCTGCCTTCCTCCACACCTACTACAGTGGCAAGGCGTAGGTCAAGGAGCTTCTCTGGCCATTTGGGTGCAATCTGGGTGGTGATGCACTACTTCCCGTCTTGACTTACCGACAACCAGTCCTTTCCTTCCCTCCCCTTCCCGAACATCATCCGGGCAGACCCCCCCTTCCTCCAGGGGCTGGGCTGACGTCAGCCTGCCCTGCATCCATTCCTTCTTCTTGCTTCCAGCTGTGATCCCACTCTGCCAGACTCCCTGCTCGGGATGCTCCTCGTGAGACCGGAAAAGACTGGCGAGAGCCCTTGTCTATTGGACCAGCGCCACCCCCCAGGGCCTGACCCTGAGAAGGGGTTAGTGGATGTGAAACTGACTTCATTGTCAGAGGACTGGCTTAAGCAATCATGGCCTTGGACAACTGAGTATCAGGAGGCCATTGTTTTTGGAGAACATTACATGACATGCACAAATGCTCAGAACATAATGCTAGGGGAAGAGTACTTGCCAGTACATACCATATAATTCCATGTACATGAGTTCCAAACAGGCTCAATTCATGTGTGGTGGCAGGAGTAAGCCTAGGGCACTTCCTTCGGCTTGGGGGCAGGCTTGGTTGGGGAGTGCATACGAAAGCCCTTAGTGTCCCATGACTACAAATGTTCTCTCTTAATCTGGATGGTGGTTGCATGGGCATAAAATATGTAAGAATTCACAAGGCTATACATTTTTGATTGGTGCACTTTACTATAAGTTATACCTAATTTAAAAAAAAGAGGAGACGGGGCGCCTGGGTGGCTCAGTTGGTTGGGCGACTGCCTTCGGCTCAGGTCATGATCTTGGAGTCCCGGGATCGAGTCCCACATCGGGCTCCCTGCTCAGCGGGGAGTCTGCTTCTCCCTCTGACCCTCCTCCCTCTCATGCTCTCTGTCTCTCATTCTCTCTCTCACAAATAAATAAAATCTTAAAAAAAAAAAAGGGGGGAGACAATGTAACACCACTACACACACATCAGAATGGCTAAAAAGGAACAAATACAAAAGACTGAATTGCTGAATATCTGAAGATTTTTCACGTTGTTGCTTGTCTCACCTTTTCACTTTTCATCCATCTGTTTAGCTTTCACTCAGGTGGGCTGTGAGTGTTGAGAAAGCAGGGACGTGGTCCCACAGAGTGACTGCAGATCCCCAAGGATCCACACTGAAAGGCATCATGGGATCGAGAGCGGGGCATGGCCTGAGACCCCGGCAGTTTGGGTTTCATCCCCAACCCTGACTTGCTGTGTCACCGGGGGAGGGCCAGTCCCTTCCCTGCACCCCAATTTCCTCATCTGTTGAAAATATTCTTCCTAAGAGCACCCACTCCCTGCCTAACACTGACTATACTGTGGGATTCCCACAACAGCCCTAAAGAGGAGGCATTTACTCTCTCCACCAGACAGGTAGAGAACTTCCACGTGATGGACTGAGCCAAGGCAGGCTCCCCTCTCCCGCTGGGGCTGAGGCTGGGCGGCCCTCAGGGTGTCCCAACAGATACAGATCTAGGTTGATAATGTGCATGTGTTACTATAGAAGGGATGGGGAAAGAAAGCCAGTCTTGAGAAATGTGAGCGCAACTCCAAATCTAAGCCCAGTCTCCGCGGAGGTCTGAATTTACAGCATAAGAACCCCTAACTGAAGAATTAACATAAAAACTTGTCTAGAATTAGTTGAAGAATCAAACACAACAACACTGCACCATGGAAACACTTCCATGTGAGTCTCCAATAAGAAACAAAAAAACAAAAAACAAAACTCCTGTTGAATTCACCAGCAAAAATTATAAGCTACAAGGAAATGTTATCACCACGGGGGAGCATTAAGTAGACAAAACCAACAGGAGGCTTAGCATCCCAAGACTTGGCATAGTTTATACCCCAATTAAGGAATAGGATCATATAAAGAGAAAAAGAGTGGCCCGTCCAACACTAGCACATGCAAGAGCAGAGCTGGGACCTCCTGCTCTGGGAACATGTGTTTCCAGCTGTTAGATCATTTGGATAGTTCTATGACCCTGAACAGAGATATTGCCCTCCTCCTACCCCACCGGCACCAAGTTTCCCCGCTCTTCTGCCTGGGTCCTCCAGCCTACCTGGCACAAAGGAGTTGGTAAGGCAGGTGCCAATGGCCAGCACTAAGAAGGGAGAAATCATGGTGCCCTCTCCAAGACCTGCTTTCTCTCTCCGGCCCAGAGGTATGATCAACGTGGGTGGGAGGGGATGGGCTGGCAGTGGTCAGATGTTAATTGATGTTCCAATCCTAGAAATTAAAGGGAAACAAAAGACATGTGGGCCATAGCTCCAGAATTCATTCATCCATCCACTTATACATTCACTAATTCATTCATTATTTGTTGAGCATTGATCACCGGCCCGGCATGGGGCTGGGCACTGGGATGCAAACCCAGGCAGTCCCTCCCTCAGGAAGCTCAATCACAAAAACGGTCATGTAAGTATAATGAGCTTCATGCTGCAAAGTGGTTCCTTCCCCATTTCCTAGGTGAACTCCCACTTCCGGTCCATCTGGAGCCTGAACCCCATCAGAGTTCGGTCTTCCTGTGTAATCCTTCCCAAACTGCAGCATGCACCAGAATCTCTTAGAAGGAAATAGGCCCAGGGTCCACCTGCCTTCACCCAGACTCCTGAGTGCATTTCTAACAAGCTCCCAGGAGAGGCTACTCCTGCTCCTGACTAGTCTGCAGCCTTTTAATGACCCGTGTTCCAAGCACAACTGAGACAAAACAGAGTCCACCCTTTCTTACAGGGACAACCACATTTGCCACATTCTCTTCTAGAACTTGGCATTTACTGTGAGATATAAAAGCTATAGGAGTGACCCAAAGAAGACTGGCTGCTAAGGGTGCCCATTTCTGGGTGGTGACATTTCGGAGGACTTGATTGCCTTTTCACTCTTTTCTGCATTCCCCAAATTTTCTCCTGTGTTGAGATGTTACCTTTATAATTTAAAAAAAAACTGTTCACACACACACTGGAAGGAAATACACCAAAACATTAGCTGTGGTTTTCTCTGGGCAGTAAGACTATGAATGATGATTTCCTCTTCTTTTTATTATTATTATTTAATTTTCCAAATTGCCTAAAATGAGCATGTACTCGATGGCATAAGAAAGTTTTTAAATTGTGGTCATCCTGTCAGGATCACAAGGGGCAACCCCAATTGCAGCTGAGAATGTACTAACCCCATTGTGCATAAATGTTGCTGGAAGAGGAGAGATTTCAAAAGGCAAGAGTTTCAAAGGAAAATATATTACCACCAAAACCGAAATAAAAACGATTACTCTCCATTTGTTGCAGGAAACAGCAGTGATGCACAACATTCTACCATTGGGTGTCGTGTCAGATAAGAAACCACTCTGCTGGGCGCCTGGGTGGCTCAGTTGGTTAAGCGACTGCCTTCGGCTCAGGTCATGATCCTGGAGTCCCGGGATCAAGTCCCACATCGGGCTCCCTGCTCAGCAGGGGGTCTGCTTCTCCCTCTGACCCTCTTCCCTCTCGTGCTCTCTGTCTCTCATTCTCTCTCAAATAAATAAATAAAAAATCTTTAAAAAAAAAAAAGAAAAGAAAGAAACCACTCTGCTGCTAGCAGAGGATCGATTCAATCTCAAAAACGTGCATGCTGGGGACGCCTGGGTGGCTCAGTTGGTTAAGAGTCCGACTCTTGGTTTCTCTCAGGTCAGGAGCTCAGGATCCTGAGATCGAGCCCCGTATCGGGCTCCCGAGCTCAGCGGAGAGTCTGAGATTCTCTCTCCCGCTCCCTCTGCCCCTCCCCCTGCTCGCATGCACGCTCTCTCCCTCTCTCTCCCTCAAATAAATAAATCTAAGGGAAAGTACACACTGCATTTCAGTGCCCAGAGGTGAGGGCTCACCAGCACCTCCACCCACAAAACACCCAGCATTCACCAAAAGCACCATCCAATTGCACCCTTATGCTTTTCCACCTGCTTCCGCATCCACCTGGCTCCTTAATGGGGGGCAGTAGGGCAGGCAGGAACTAAAAGGAAACACTACATCTGACATCTACCAGCACTTAACTCTGAGAGGCATGATTTCTGATTTCTTTTTACTCTACCTTTTTCAAATTTTTTTTTTTAAGATTTTATTTGAGAGAGAGAGAGAGAGCAGGAGCGGTGGGGAGGGGTAGAGGGAGAGGGAGAAGCAGACTTCCCACTGAGGAGGGAGCCCGATGTGGGGCTCGATCCCACGATCCTGGGATCATGACCTGAGCCGAAGGCAGACGCTTAACTGACTAAGCCACCCAGGTGCCCCCTTCTCAAATGTTTCTAGAGTAAACCGTAACATCAGAAAGAATGCTATTAAATTGATATACAGTGTCAATACATCACAATATTATTCCAAATAGCTTAAAAACCAAAGTCACCTCTTTCAGGAAGCCTCCCGGATGGCCACTCATTTGAGGATGCTACCTCTGAACTTCATATCACCTCCACCATTGTGTGTATGTCCCTGTTTTGAAAGTAATTCTTTTCTGGTCCATTTCCCCCACCACACTGGGAGTTTCTAAGAGCAGGGACTTTGCCTTGTTTGTCCATACTCCAGTGCTTGGCAATATTGGTAAATATTGACATCAGTTGAAAGCCAATGCTCTAAGGAGGGAGGCAGGGGGAAGGGAAGAACCACCCCAAATCCTTCCTTTGTGTGTGCCGAGAAATGCACGCATTGGCAAGTGCATAGAGTATAACTAGGGTGTCCGTTCACTGCCAGGAGTGGGTGTAGATCAGTACAACCCTTTCGGAAAACTGGCGGCATCTACCAAAGCCGAAACGCACATATGTCCTCTGACCCATCTATCTCCAACAGAAATGTACACACGTGCGTTCACCAAAAGACCAGTATGGGAACATTCGCATCAGCTCTGTTCGTCCGGCCTCAGAACTGCTCCACCTTCAGCAGGATGGAGAAATACACTGTGTGAGTTCTCAGAATGGAAATCTAAGCAACAGTTAGGATGAATGATCATGATCAACAACTCCACACAACAGGGATGAATCTTGCCAAGGTAAAGTTGACTGGAGGAAGCCAATCCAGGAGTACATAGAGAGTAATTCCCAAGATACAAAGTATAAGGACAAAGCGAGGGGTCAGAAGCGAGGGGTTAGAAGACAAGACAAAGGTTACACTTGAGGGTGTGGAGACCGAAGGGGGCACAAGGGACTTGTGATTGATCTGCAGGCTGGTTACATGGGTGGATTCCGTCTGAAAATCAAACAAGCGGTCGATGTGTAATATTGACACTTTTCTGCATGAATGCGTGTATGTTCTATTTCAAGAAGATAAAAACAATACTAAGAGCTTAGGTAAACAATCTATAAACACAGAATGCAAATGACCTGTGTATTGCACGTCACTGTTTATGAAGACTTCCATCATGATTTCTCACTAGTAACCCCTACAGTGGACAGAGGCGGGCTGTGATCTCCTTTGCAGGTGAGAAAACCAAGGCTCATGATAGTTCACCATGCACTGAAAAATAGGACTTAATCCTCTCTGCCCCTTGGGCCCAATACAAACAAGGAAATAAGGAAAAAGAAAAGTCAAGGGTGGCCCCAGGAGATCTAAAGGGCTCATCCAGCCTGCATGATTATTCTTATTTGTTTCTCTTCTCTGTCAGCCTGATGCTCTGGGAGAGTAAACATCATTTTCCCCGTTGTTGAATCCCCAACCCTGTGCACACAGAAACAGCTCTGTAAATGCTAACTTAATGAAAAGCCTCAAGATTCAGGCTGGAATGCTCTGAATTTTGGCCCCAGGGATGTGGCTTTGAGACCCCCTGTCCTAGAGACAGACAGGTGCCTTCTCGTGCTTTCTCCCACTGCCTCTGCCTGAAAAGGAGAGGGGGGTGGAATCTAGGAGACCCTTCAGAAGCCAGAGTCTGCTCTGCGGGCTCCTCCTCTTGGCCCCCACCGCCACCCAGAGGCTCCAAGCCTGCTCTCTCTTGGCCCTGGTGATGGGCTCAGTGGGGCCCAGTCGGGGGCTGCAGGGGCCCTGGCTGCCCACCACCCTCTGCCAATGCTCTACTAGCTCAGAACGGAGTCTCGAGTGTGTGCCAGGCCCACTGCCCCCCACCTCCCAGCTGGACCGTCTCCACCAGGCTCCCAGCTACGTGCTCTGATTACTCATGACAAGTATGCAGAAGCCCTAACTGGGCTCTGGTCCCTGGAGAAGGAGCAGCTCCTTGGCAGGTCAGGAGAGGGGAGCCGAGGGGCTGAGCCTTGGCCCTGAGGACTGACTCAGCGTCCTGGGGCAGAGGGCATGGGAGCCCCTTAGAGCCATGCAAAAAGCCAGTCCTGAGTGGCTGGGTCCCAAAAGGTCCAGGGCAGTTGACAGATATAAATCACTACCATTTCTTGGGCACTCATGTGGTACCGAACACTGTGCTAACTGTTGACATCTGTGGTCTTACTTAATCTTCACAGCAAGTGTCATTAGCCTGTTGAACAGTTTAGGAAACTGAGCAAAGGATCTCAGCGAGTCCGTGGCCAAGTGTGATTCAATCCCAGGCTGACTCTTAACCTCTCTGGGCCTTGGTTTCCCCACCACGGAGAGCAAAGAGAGACCAGTGCCCACCCTTTCTCTGTCCCGCCAAGAGCGAATTGTAGCCAAATGAGTTCAGGGCAGGAGATCTGGCAGGGGAGGGAGTTAGGCCCAGGCGAGTTCTCCTACCTGAGTGGCCTGGCCAGGCGGCAGGTGAAGAAGCAGAGGAGGCTCAAGGCCAGCATCAGGAGGAGGAGGCTGAGGACCGCCGTGAGGACCATGTCCAGGGTGGGGGACAGAAGAGTCATCTTGGGGCAAAGAGGGCCCCACAGAGCCCCCTGTCCACAGCCCCCTGCACACTAGCCTTGGATGCTCTCTGCAAAGCCTTGAGTCAGTGGCCAGTGACCTGGCTTTGTTCCTTGGGGTTAATCTTTTAGGGATTAGCCCTGGAGGGATGAAACGGGATGGGTGGGGGGTGGGGAACAGCCCATGAAGCTCCCCTCCCCCCAAGCCAGGCCTTTTCCACCTGATGCCTGTTCATTCAACTTTGTTCATTCATTCTTCATTCCCAAACATTGAGTGAGCACCAGCTGTGTACCTGGTACTCTGTCCTAGGTACTAAGGACTCACTGGGGGAAGAGGATAGACAGGATCTCTGTCCTCTTGGAGATTCCTGACCACCCAGGGTAAAAAAAAAAAAAAGCACCTACTACGTAGTAGCCATTGTGCTGGTCACCCTGTGGGATAAAAGCCGCAGAAGGAAGGGCATCCCCGGCCGGCCAAGGTCATGATCCGTTATTCGTCTGAAGCAGCAACAGTGGCTGCTCGACCCCATTTACAAGCCCGGGCACGAGACTGCACTGAACCAGCCAGAGGGGGAAGCTATGTCCAGAATAAGAGGAACTGTTCTTACTGAGCACCCACTGTGTGCCTGGCCCCGTAAGACAGGCATCAGCATCCCCTCTTACAGGACGACGGAAAGGGAAGCTCAGAGTTGCAACGTTAGAGTTGGGATCTGAACCCAGATCGCCCAGCCTCCACAGCCGGTCACCCCGACCCCTGCACGGCCCCAGAACCGGGATAACACCAGCCCTGCAGGACAGCAGCCTTCAGTAAAATCACCGGCTATCCCCGGAGAGTCAGCACACACAGGCTGGAGGTGGCTGAGCGACTGCCTGCCTGAAGGGCCCTTTCTGCTTCCGAAGTCCCCTCCCCATATCTCTCTTGGGTCCCAACAACATCTCATCAAGCCAGGATAGGGTTACGGTTCCCATTTTACAGATTCAGAAACTGAGGCTCAGAGAAGGGAAGCCACTAGACATACCCAGAGCTGACACAACACCAGCTGTGCCTATGAGGCCAGGCCTTGTCCAGCTACGCCTCCCGTCACCTGGGACACCTCAGACCCTATGGTACACAAAGCATTCAAGGTTAGGGGAAGAGGCTTTTTTTTTTTTAAGATTTTATTTATTTATTTGAGACAGAGAGAATGAGAGAGAGAGAGAGAGCATGAGAGGAGGAGGGTCAGAGGGAGAAGCAGACTCCCCGCCGAGCAGGGAGCCCGATGTGGGACTCGATCCAGGGATTCCAGGATCATGACCTAAGCCGAAGGCAGTCGCCCAACCAACTGAGCCACCCAGGCGCCCAGGGGAAGAGGCTTTTACCCTCTCGTGCCAAGAGGTCCCCCCTTTCCAGAAGGGCCACTAGGCTCCCCATGAAAATAGGAAATCCAGTGGTATGACTCCATGAAAGCCTCTTTTTCAATAGGCCCTTCACTCAGATTGCATCAGACCCTCACAGCATGCCAGTGATCCAGGCAGGGTTGGCTTATTGGCCCCCTTGACAGATAGGGAAACTGAGGCTCATCAGTAAAGTCACAAGGCCAGCACATTTGGGCCAGGCCCCAGACCACCCCCCTTCCCAGCTGTGTGACTTTGGGTCAGTCCCTGTACCTCTGAGCCTACAGCCATCGCCCGCTCGGGAGAACACCTGCGATGTATCAGACACTGAGTGGGACATACGTGACCTCAGTTTAGTCCTCGTTAACAGCCCTGAGAGCTAGATCATTTGTCCCCCTTCCCAGGCAAGGGAAGGAAGGCCTGGGCAGTAGTGGGGGGAGGGGCGGACACAGTGGTGGAGATGATCCAGGCTCACACAGATGGAAGATGCTGACCACGCCCTGCACAGGACCCCTCAAGGAACCTACCTGGAGGTCACCCCTGCTCCAGGCTCTCTCTACCACAGCTGACCCAGAGACCCTCCCTGCCCCAGCCAGCTCCCCAGGGCTGGAACAGCTCTAAGACTCCCCCCACCCTCCAGCTTCCCAAATCAATAGGAGACCCAAAGAGTGTCACCTTGTGCTCCCTAGCCTTACTTGGCTGGGCCAGAGGGCAGTTTTTTGTCCTTGGGGAGCCTCCAGGCTAGAAGTCACAGCCCTGGAAAGTCTGGGCTGGGGAGGGTCCTTTGAGCAGATCTCCCCAAACCAGGCCACAAGAATCACTTGGGGGTGCATGCAGGGGTTGGGGGGGGGTCCTACTCCCAAGCGATTTCCTGGGGAGGGGGACAGACTGGGAAATGTATGAGAGTCATGGAGGTGTTCTTTACAGTGATTGGGAGGTAGTTAGAAGTGCGTGTTTGTGTATCTGTACAACTCCAGCCAGGGGCTAACAGTATTGCTAGGTGCTGAGGACCTGAGGAGCTTTGCGTGAAGGGAGCATAGAGAAAGAAAAGGGTGTGGCTGATTCAAATTTAAAAGGAGATTAAAGAGACACACCAACCCCCAAATTCCCCATTCTCCCCCACAGGACCTGCTGAATCATTCTGTGAGCAGATGAGTTTGGGAAACACTGCTTTGCAGACTGTCCCATTGCCCAGATGGGAAGACTGAGGCCGAAAGAGGAAAGACTTACCCCGGTTGCCCAGCTCCTCCTTCCCATGGACACACACAGGGAACAATCAGAATGAGAACAGGCGGAAGCCAGCACCCTCTGGGCTGTCAAGCTGGGCCTTGCTGGCTCTTCGAAGGAGCTGTGGCGGCAGCAAGTGCTGAGTGTTCCCGGAGCTGCCAGCAGGCTGGGGACTGGGCTGGGGCTGGGGGGCCTGCTAGAGCACCGAACTGGGCTGCAGCAGCTGCCTGGGGAGGAACACTGCAGCTGCAGGGTCAGAGAGAGGGGACACGGAATCCCTCTCTCAGCCAAGCCTGGCGTCTCTGGCAAGCCTTGCTGGCCAGGACTTTATTCATTCACTGACGTAGGTTATTTATGGCTGCCATGAAGCAGCCTCCGGGTGTAGGGCTCAGGAAGGAATGTGTGGTGGTCAGAGTGGGCTGCAGGTCAGACCCAAGGAGGGACTTCCCCAGAGGGCACTGGGCCAGATGCTGGGGACAGGGCAAGGCTCAGCCCTCCAGCTGCTGACAGCACGCCATGTGGGCAGAAAACAGATGTGCAAGTGCCCGGGGAGGCATGGTGTCAGCCCCGCTGTCTGCCAAGCCGTTGCGTCTTGAAGGCTCAGCCAAGACACCAGCTGTCCCCTGAGCACTTCCAGTCTCAACATCTCTGTACACAGTGTTCCCTGGTCTAGAATGTTCCCTGCTGTCTGCTCCATGAAGTCTTCCCATCATCCTTCCACCTTGATAGCTCTGCAGAGCTGCCCCGCACCCCCGCCTCAGCCCATGCGGTGGGTACGACTCCTCCCCAAGCTCCCAGAACCTAGGTCACCCCATCAGAGTCTTAGAGAGCCACTGGCCGTCACCCCCTTACCATGGCATGAGCTCTGCTGATGGTGGCAGGCCCAAGGCTGGCAGGGCTGGGCGCAGAGCTGTGCGGCCAGGGAATGTCGGTGGCTGGGTGAGAGGGCAGTGCGGCCAAGGGGTGAGTGGCTGAAGACGCAGCTCAGCAGCAGGAAGAGCGAGCCCTGGAGCCGGGGCACCGGGCTCGGACCCTGCCTCTGCCCCTCGAGCTGGGAAGCTAAGGGCCGCCGATCCCACCCTCTGTGTCTCCGGCTTCTCATCTGCAAAGTGGGAGACTAACAGAAACCACAGAAACTAAGGATTGTAGGAGTTAATAGACGAAGGGGCTTAAAACAGGCCACAGGGCATGGGAAGTGTTCGGTGACTGCCAGCCAGCAGCCAGGATTAGGAGTGGGGGAGGATGGACGGATACGCCAAGGACAGGCAGGGAGAGGGGCACACGAAGGTCTGGAGCAGAAAATGGACTGACCGTTCCCTGCTCACTCGGCCAGGCAGCTAGTTACCCTCAGGGCTTTCCCACAGACCTGCTTGTCTGGAAGGCCCCACCAGAGGCCCGCTGCACAGCTCCACGTGGCAGGAGGAGGGGGGTATTTAGTGAAGGGGAAGGGGGCAAGGTTCCAGTTCTTCGAGTCAAAGGGCTCCACGTCTCCACACGGGGAGCAAATAACCCACCACGCAGCCCGACATGTTCTTTTCCTCGAAGGGGAGAGAGAGAACATCCAGGATCTGCCAGGAAGGTTCCATGGATGGAGTGGAAGGCAGGCCAGGCTGGAAGGATTGGGGGGGAGGGGTTGAGATGAACAGAGACAAGGGTGCCCCTGACAGGTGGACAGAGGGGGCAGCCCAGACCGGCCACAAAGGGCTCTGCTCGCGGAGCTCAGCCCGGTCGAGAGCACGTCCTGCGTGTCCCTGCACACGGACATGCCAGCCCATCTTACAGGTGCGGACGCTGAAGCTCAGGCGTGTGCCACTTGCCCGAGGCCACACAGCAGAGCTAGAATCAGAGGCCTCAAAGGCCTGGGTTCTGGAGCCAAAGCTTTTCTGGGACTCCCTGGGGCATCTGGATGGTCTGGATGCCACCAACTGGCTCTGTGGGCAGAGGACTGAAGCCAGTCACGGTCCCACTAGTGGGAGGAGAGCTGACACGGGGGTGGAGGGGGGATGGCAGGGCCCCGAAACCCGTGCCTGGGGCCTGAGATGGCTGAGGGCCTGGCAGAGGAGGTCAGGGATGGCTGCTCTGTGGGCACACAGGCTTCCAGCATCCCACGGACAGTACATGGCGGGGGGCGGGGGGGGCACGTGCTGTGTTCTCTCTGAGGTGCCTGCCACCCCCAGACTTGGGTACACTCAGCACTCCTGCGGCAGGAGCCCCTGTGCTACCAGGACACCGGACTGTCCATCCTTGTTCTCACAATCGACAACACGATAAGGCAGGCACAGGGAGGGTGCACGCCTCCCCGGGGTCACACAGCACATCAACAGCAGGGACAGGGCTCCAGAGGAACCAGCTACGATGTGGGGGCTCTGACTGGAAGCACAAGGCAGTCTCCAGCCTAGTGCCAGTGTCTTGGAATTCCAGACGTGAATGATCTGTGTCACCTGAAGAGAACCATTCAAACTGAGACCATTCTAAAAAAGCCCTCATTTCACACTTTGTCATTGTGTTCTTAATCACAACAAACCTTTTCATAGCCCTTACTACGTGCCAACCATTGTTCGGGAAACACTTTACCTCCATCCACTCATTTAATCCCTACAACCACCTGCCACGTAGGCACTATTATTACGCCCATCTTGCAGGTGACAGAGCAGAAGCACAGAGAGGTTAAGTCCCTTGTGCAAGGTTACACAGCCAGTAAGGGGCCGAGCCAGATCTCAACATTCCTTGTGGATGTTTCTATCTCCCGGGGCCAAGCGTAAACCCCTAAGCAGCCGGCGAGTCTAGAAAGGAAGCACGTTTGCTCCAGCTGCAGCGTGAGTAGTCCGTGTCTGTGGATGAATGGACCACGTGCAGCTACTACTGGGCTCGGGCTCCTTACACACTCATCCCACGTCACCCCAGTCCTCTGAGGGAGGACTTCCCCTTATCCCCATTTACAAAAGAGAGGTGAGGTGAGGTGACTTACCCGAGGTCGCGCGGCGTGAGTGAGCCTAGACACACGCCTCCTCCCCGCCCCACCCCACCCTTACTCCAGCGGGTCCTTGAGCAGATCACTGGACCACCCCGGCTCTCCCCACACCCCGCCCCCCAGGCCCACGCACCCTGGCAGCCTTTCCGTGGGAGAGGAAGCCACCATTCCACAGCCCCCACGTGGGCCCTGAGAGAGGCCGAGACAGCTCAGGATGGGGGAAATAGGCAGTGAACTTGTAACCTGCTGGGCAGCGGCCAACACAAGCAGCATCCCTGGGTGGCATGTGCAGGGGGCTCGCAAGCACCGTGCTGGCGTCAGGGCTGGGAGTACACGGATGTTCCCAGAGATAGCACGCTGCAGCTGGCCCTGGATAAGCACGTCCCTCACATTCCCGGAGAACCTTCCAGCAGGAGGAGGAGACTAATGCCCCTAGTGCATTTGCTGGAGACCCCAGGAGGTGGCAGGGCAGGGAGACCGCCTCGCCCCGCAGGAAACCTGAGCCCACGGAAGTGAGGGTCCCACCCGAAGGGTGCCCAGCTCAGCAGAGTGCCTATCGCTTACAGGTTTCTCGACCTTGGGCACGTCACTTCACCTTTCTGGGCCTCAGGATCCTCCTGTGTCCCAGGCAGACCATCATCGTGTGTGCCTGACTCCCTACGATTGTTAAGCATAAGAATACAATAAACCGGGAGATAAATGCCCCAGGCTTGGCACATTAAAACACTCAACGTTAGCTGGTAGTAACGGGCAGAACGAGCATGCCAGGCCCCTTCGAAGCACTTCACATGCACTGACTCGCCTAACCCGCACAGCAACCCTCCCGTATGGGCCATCAATGCTCCCACGGTACAGAGAAGTTCAGTAACTTGGCCAAGGTCACACAGCTATGAACAGGACACTATGGAGATGGAAAGGGAGAGGCTCTTAATGGAGCACCTACTATGTGCTGGAGCTTTTGGCTCTGCCTTCCAAGGATCCTATGAGGTGGGAATTATCAGCTCTGGGTCAGGAGACAACACTGAGACTCGGGAAGTAGGAGGGAGGAGCAGGGTCACACAGCCATCGCGTGGGAGAGCTGGGATCTAGGCCAGGCCTGGCTGGCTCCACAGCCAGTACTTGCTACTACCCCCATCCCAGCCATCTGCCAGGACAACTTCCATCACCGGCGGCAAGAGCCGAGGCCTCTGCCGCCCCAGGTACAGGGAGCCCTGCGTCAGTGTGCCGGATGATCTCGTTCCGCCTGTGTATGCGTGCGCACTGCCGTCCTGGCCCCGAGTGCTGCAGGGTTGTGGTGTGCCCGGCCCCTGCCCCACCACCCCACCACCGGCCCTGAAGTCAGGCTGCTCCCTCCGCCCCCTGCCAACTCCCCTTGGGCGGCCTCCATAAGGGGAGGGGCTTCGCTTGGTCACATTGTCTCCCTCCCGCCCAGGACAGCCCTTTCCAGGTTTGTAACTCCTCGGAGAGGCTGAGATGGGCAGGGGCAGCCCAGGGGTACAAGTCAGGGTCCTGGCCAAATAGTCTAGAGCTGTTTCTTCCTCTGTGAAGCAGGGATAATAAATGCCACTATGCCTCCACGATCAGCTTCTTGGGAGGGAAGGAACTTTTCGAACTGTAAAGTGCTGTGCAGATGTTCCGACGGCTTTCCATGGCTCCCCTTCTGATGACCATAGTGGGTACGTGCTGGGATCTCTGGCCACCCGGAATCCATTCCCCCTTCCTGACAATACCGAAGTCTCCTTGGACAGCAGCCCTCCCCCTCTCAGCCCCGTGGTTTGGATGGGATTGATCCCCAGCCCTGGCAGCTCCAGGTGGGCCCTGATTGGCTTACACTGGAAGACTCTCCACCTGGATGGTGTGTTGTTAAGGTTGAGGCCAGTGGCAGGGAGCACTGTGTGGAGCCTAAAGGTGGAGCAACTCCTTAGAATCTGGAGTCTTGGGTAACATTGCTTGAGTCCCTGGATGCAGCCATGCCTGAAGCTCACTTCTCAACATCCAGGTTACATGAGCCAATTCGTTCCCCTTATTGCTTGCCTTGGATTTCCTGTTTCTTGGAACACAGTCTGACCTCAGAACTCCAGTTCAGTAAGTTTTTCTGATCCCCTTATAATGTAAGCAACTACATTACGTCATGCTCAGCCAGCTGTTCTTACCAAAGGATAAAGCTTGCAAACAAGCTAAAGATGGGTCAACACATTTCAAGTGCAACTGAACACAAGTTAGGTTTTCTTTTTGGAATGTATAAACCCTTGGAACCATAGGAGGTCTTTGAACAGGACCTAACAACCCTACTACAGGCAGGACTGAGACCCTCCCCTTCCAACAGCTGTTGTCAGTGGAGTTTAACTCTTTGACCCGTTCCAAGTGTCTACTGTGTGCCTGGCCCTATGCTCAGCAGTGCAGGTGCAAAGCTCTGCCTTGTAGGCCCTTCAGTCTAGTGAACCCATTTTCACTGGGTTTTATACAAAAGCCCCAGGAGGTCGGAGTACCGGGGGAAATACTGCTACGCCCGTTTCACAGAGAAGGAAACGGAGATGCAGAGAGGTGAAGTGACCTGCCCAAGATCCTTCTGCTAAGGAGGGGCCAGGCCAGGCCATGCTCT